TGGTGGCCTCTTGCGTGTCAAACTTCCTTTCAATAGCCTTGAGTTGCGCCTCCTAACTGTCGAACCTCCCATCAAACGTCGTGAGTTGAGTCTCCATCGTTGTGAGTCTCTTCTGGACGACATCCACCCTCACCGTGAGCGAGGTCACCATGACCGACCGCTCTGATACCAACTGCTATAGACTCAATAATTTGATTGCTTAAATGTAACAGTAAGCTCACAGATAGAGGAAAGCTTGGATATTTGATTGCTATTTGCAAATAACTGCTACAATGTAAACTAAGGTCTAAGCTAAAGCTGGACTCTTGAAGAAATACTACAACTACTACTACTCTACTAATAACATCAACAATCACATAAAAACTACAATTACATAAAATCAGAACAGTCACCACACCCCTTAGTGGTGCATTAAACGATTTTGTCCTTCCCTGCTCCTTGTTTGCTGTTGCTCGCTGCTATGTTGTTGGCTGCACTTCCTGATGTTTCTTTCTCCTCTCATAGACCCGTATGGCTTGTGGTGGGTTAGCCCGATTCATTGCACTCCACACATTTGCGCCATCTGTCGCCACCGGTGACCGCCTCTCACTTTCTCTTTCTCTCTTTTTCTCTTGGATCTAGGCTTTTTATGGATGGTTTTTCGAGGTGAGGGTGTGTTTTTTAGCGGGCAAGGGTGGTAATTCGGGGAAGGAGGTGAGGTTTCTGGTGGGTGGGAGTGGTTTTTGAGGGTGAAAATGGTGTTCTGGTGGGCAGGGATGCATTTTTCGTGGTGGTAGATTTTTGGTATTGATTTGCTAGTATGGCGGGTGGTGGCGATTGTGATTGTGGTGGGGCGAACTGGCGGTGGGTTACAGTGGTGGTGGGGCGATAGGTGTATGGTTGTGGTGGCAGTGGGTGGTGATGTGGTGGTAGCTCAAAGGAAAGGGAATGGAAATACCATGGGGTTGAAGGGAATCAATATAGGAGACTTAGGGGGTAAGGAGTGGGTAAAGAGAATGAATAAAATAGCATAACACAAACAACAAATCCCTTAATACCCCATACCAAATGCCCCCTTGATATAAATAAATAATTAGAAAATACTTCTAATAATGCTAAAAGTTTTAGAGTATTATACAAGATTCATTGAAAAAATCATGTTATATACTACACAAAACACGATTATATAAGGGGGTCTTTGGTTTGTTAAGTTGGAATGGATTGGTATGAAATCTCATAGTATGGAGGTATAAATTCAAAATCCCATACTAGTCTAAAATTGTTTAGTTTGAATGTTGGGGGTTTTGCACTTTTTTAATGAAATGAATTGTGAATTTTAGGGGTAAGGTGGGTATGGGATTCCATGAGATGTGGTAGAGTTAGAACCTCTTTGGCATGGGGTTTCCATAGTTGAACAACTCAACCAAACAATAAAATAGATGAATGGATTCTAACTCCATTCCAACTCATTCTAAAAGATCAACTAAATGATGCCTAAATTTAATTGAAGTGATCGACTCATTCTTGAATAAATTAACTCGATAATGGCTTTGCTTGACCCAAAATTAACTTGTACACAATATTCTGAGCCATATTGGAATGATAATGACATGATCCTTATTAAACCCGAATATGATAAACGAAACCCAATCTATAACGGTCTTACTCAAAATTGACTTGATCCAAACTTTAATCGAACCTAAAATAATTTGTTACAAACCTATACCGAATTGAGTAAACCCAAATCCTAATTTAATATCGAACTTAACCCAACTCAAATTCAATCCAAACGTGGTAGGATGCATGACTCTACATGAGCCAACTCGAACCCAACCCATGTAGATTAATCCATGAGCTTGACATGACTTGACCGTCTGACATGACCTACATTTCCCCAATCATCCAATTTGACTAATAGGGATGAGCAAAATCGGGTACCTCGTCAAGAACAAAATTGGATCCACATCAGATAAAACCGTGTCCTAGAAATTGGACCTAGTATTGGAATTGGTCCTATTCGGGTCCAATAATTTTGTAACCGGTCCCAGATCCGTTGGGAACCGGTTCCAAAATCAAGTACTCGGATCATGATCAGCATCAAATTGGACCTTCGACAAAAAAATCTACAACATAAAATTAAACATCATAAAATGATATTTAAAAGATTTGCTTTTTAGTAACACGTTTTTTTGTTTTTTTAATTTTTTTTTTAAAGAAATTAAAGGATCGGAGAAATAGCAGAAACAAAAAGTTCATAATAAAGGAGGCTTATGACCCCTCGTGAGTAATGTTTGGAGGCATTTTCAACTTCCATTCACAAGTAGATTCCATCATGTGTGAATGATCATTTTGGTATATATTTGCTTTCATCTTGGGGAGATAATTAAAAATAAATAAATAATAATAAAAGATTTAAAGTAGGTGTGATGAAAAAGAATGAATGTGAGTGAAAGATGGAGTGCGGCTGATAGGGTTTTAAATTTTTTGGGGTTTGGTAGTTAGGTTTTGTTAGATAGATGGTAAGAAAATTATATGTAATTGGATTGGGCTTAATAGTATACAAGGGCTGCAAAAAACTCTGAAGGTCCTTAAAAACTGACATAGAACTAGTTAAACCGGGTACCAAGTGGGTACTGGGTCCAAAAACTTATGGCTTGGAATTCGAACCGGTTGGAACTGGGCCCAAAAACATAGGACTTGGAATTTGAAACCGGTTGGAACTAAGTCCTTGATTTTGGAACTGGATCCTGGACCCGCTTGTCTAAATGGTTCAGGTTCCAAAATCGGGGTACCCATAATTCTTGCTCAAACCGAACTTTGTGTATACGTGATGTCTACTGTGATATAGTGAGGCTTAGGAAAATATAGGCTCACATATTCTTATTATTATGCATGCATGCATTTGTGTGTAGTGGTATAAAAAAGGGAGCAGGTTTGCATGCACATGCATATGCTCTCTGTCTAAAATTAATTTAATTAACTGTCGTTATCTAATGATATTTGAACGAATTATTTAACAAGTCTGACAAATAAATCTGGACCAGAGACAGAATTTACTTCCTTTGTTTCACTAAGATTCAACACTTGCTAAATTGGTATGTTCCAAAAAAATAATGACCACTTCCCTTTTTGGTAACTTTTACAATTTGACCTATTCACTATAAATATAATTGGCCCATTGTCCTTTCTCCCCTCATCTCCATCCTCCTTTATATATACTTCTTACTTCTTATTTGTTCATAAGAATTAATAACCCACTTGCTACCTCTTTCTTCTTTACTAAAATATTTGGTAAGAATGGCAACCTTTATTACATTAATCATTTACTATAATCATTCTTGGCCCACTATTATATCTCCTCTCATTTCTACCTTCCTTATAATATGCTTCCTCCGTTCTATTTTAATTGCAACGTTTGAGATTTTGCACTATTCACTCACTCTTTGACAGTCTTTTGTGATTTATACAATAGAATAACAGTCGTGTGGGGTTTTGTTTTACTTTCAAAATATCAACTTTTGTTTTTTTTAATGTATAAAGTATATTAATGATACCGATTGCAATTGATGCAATTGTAGTATAAATAAAGGAAGTATAATACTTCCTCTGTTTTTTTTAAATACTACAATTGCCTTATTCAGCTGTTTTTTTATGAATGACTCACTTCCTCTTTTGGAAATCTCTTACATTTTAATAATATAATTTTACTCACCAATAGTCCCCTCTCTCTTACTTTATCATTTCTCACTCCTTCAATGGTCCCCACTCCTTCTCACATCTTTTTACTTTTCAATAAAATAATGACCCCACTATCTTTTGTTACAATCTTTTTATAATCTTACCTACCCCACTTTCTCTTACTTTATCATTTCTCACTCCTTCAATGGTCCCGACTCCCTCTCACATCTTTTTACTTTTCAATAAAATAATAACCCCACTATCTTTTCGTAGAATTTCTTTTTATTATCCTACCTACCCTACAAACATCTTATATTATTAAAGTCAATAAAACCTTTTAAATTCTGTGCATTCACAACTCTAGCATTTTAAAAAAAAACGGAGTGAGTAATAATAGCTGCTGTAATTATTATGCGCTTATGTGTGTTTGTGAGTGTGTGTGTGTGCACATGTAATACATCTGTTACCTTGCAAGATATAATTTTTTGGGTATGTTTGTGATGTGGTTTTTTTGATTTGTTTTTGCATCTTTAACACTGCAGGCTTAAACTTAGGATAAAATTTGAGACAGAAATGATTGTCAAAGAGAATTTTTGAATTGCTATTTGCAGGATGGAATTAGATAGAAATTAGCAGCCAGTTTTCCATGTGAGCTGTAGGGTGTTCCATTATAGTAGAAGCCATTTCTTTAATCACAACTTTGTACTAATTCTGTTTTGTAATGTTCTTTACATTTACTATTTGCAGAAGAATTAAGGTAATGAAGATATGTAAAAGGGTGGGTTAGTGTAAGAAAAAGATGGATAAACTAGGAGAGAGTGTAAAATGGTGGCTGAGTGTAAGAAACAGTTGGATAAAGTTAGAGAGAGTATGTGAAAAAGATGTTAGTATTGTGTTAGATAAAGGAATTCGCCAAAATGGAATAAAGTAGATATGTTAAGAAAATTATGAAATGGATCAAAACGGAAATATGTTAGGAACATTATGAAACGGAGCTAGTATTTGTAAGGGGTACTTTCTTCAGATTTTTATTCCCTCTTCCCCTCACTCTCTCCCCTGACCAGGCAACAATGGTATGTAAATAGTATATGCATGTTTGTGTTTTTTACACATAGACATGATTTGTATAAGTGTGTGCGCATGTTTATATAGTGCACATGCATTTGAGCACATAAGATACTAGAAGTATGTGAATTACATCTGTATAAATGACATGTATGCATTCATGGTTTGTGTGTACGTTTATATTGTTCAGTGTAATGTTACATTAAAAGTATTTGAATCACATTTTGGACTTGGGATTTAGTTTTTCTTCCATTCATTTCTATTATGCTGGCATGCAGGAACATTCCAATCCGCATCAGATCGAGAAGGCTTCGAGGAGTAAGATCGAAGGAGGTGCCTCTGATTAGTCATTGTGGTGGGTCCCAGGCTACTGGCATACATGACACTGAGATGAATGTAGCTACTCTTGTGCATTCCTCAAGTCAGGATAATGATCCTGAAATGCTGGATGGTCAGTCCTCTCTTTCTGATTTACTATTGAGGATACGTGAAGAAAAGGTAGAAATGTCAAATATAGTTGCTAAGACGAAGAAAAGAAGATTCTCTAAACTGCAACCAAGGAGGAGCTCTTTAGCTAAGACTAATCTTGGGGATAACAACTGTGAGGCAATGGAATTGAGAACATTTGATGATGGCAATGAGACTCTTCCTAAGGATGTAGCTTGCTCAAGTAAGGAGAATGCTGTAACAAAGCAGAAGAAAAGAAAGTTGCTTCTTGATCAATCTGTAGGATGGGAAGATTTGCCCTTGGCAGTTCTATTTAGAAGAAATGTTACTCGCATACAGAGGAGAATTTCCAGCGTGAGTTTCCAAATCAATTTGCATATTTAAGATGGGGCTTGAGTGCTCTTTCACTTTTATTAAAATTTAGTTGTTTTTATCATGCTTTTAGTAACTAAAGGGTTTTTTTTTTTTTTTTTTTTTTTTTTTTTCATCCTGGTCCTTTTGACTTCTCAATCTTTTAAAAAACATCAAAATTATGAGCGTGCTTTGTTACCTATATATATGATTCGGAATGATATATTTTATTGTTTTTAAGCACTCATGTATAATTCTGACTGATATCAATGTTTGTGACCTCCTTCCATGGTCTTGCAGTAATATTTTGGAGACAGTAAGATTAAAGACTAAGAGATGAGCAAAAAGGTATGGACAGGGGAGGGACTCCAATTGAGTAGAGAACTGGTTGATTTCCTCGATGTATTGCTGGCTTATGGTATACAAAAGGATGGTGTAATCATTGGTAGGTGTATCATCCTGTACTGTAATTCCAGTAATTCAGTTTGCATGCCTAAGATGATTCCTGATCCATGATCGTGGTTCAAAAGAATTTATTTTGTACGGGAGACGATCTCTGTTTTATGATGTGCTTCTTTTGATATTGTTCAGTGGCCGAATATTTCAGCATGAGGTGGAATGTGCAAAAATATTGACCAACCCCTGGACCTGGTCAGGAGGTTAGCTTATATTAATTTAGGTTCATCACACTTCAATTGTTTACTCATTGCTCTTGATTTTTTATTTGTTTTGCATTAAAGCGGGTAGTGCTGTGACTGCTGTTATAATGCAACCCTAATTTTACTATCAAGTTTTATCATGCAAATCAATGTAAGATGTGATCTATGTTATATAAGTCGACGTTGTATTTGTATAGGTTGTATTAAGAGTGGTTATTGGACAAGGTAATCTAATGGTATAGGGTTAGGGTTGATGCAAAAGGGTTTTTATTGGACAAGGACAATACATGGTCAAAATTTTTGTACATGTCCATGTCGGAAACTTCTTGATGATCCTAATGTAGGAGAGTACTCTTTATCAATAAACTTGTTCGTATGTCCCTCTTGATATTTAAGTTTCTTGTTTGAAGTGAAAGGATATATGTATTCAATTACTCTTCCCTATGGATCATTTTTCAGGACAACATCCACGTTTTAAGTGATGTTTTGGCCACGTCAACTGTTGCTGCTTTGGACTAGTAGCCTATGATTGAACTTCATAAAGTTTGGTGTTGGATAATTCAGCACTCCAATTGAAGCGTCACAAATTGGCTAAGATAGTGCTGACTGTAATTTACGCAGTTCACCACTCAGAAGAACAGGACTGGGGGAAGTGAGGATTGCACGATGATGCATGTAACTCTGATTAGATTATCAGGTCTGTTAGCCAGTGTATTACTCGCTTTCTTTTCTAAATGTAATAATACTCGTGGATGTGCTCCTCCAATAGTTACAATCATACCATAGTGCTTTATTTGGAAGCAGTATCACTTCAGCAGTCCTGATATATATGTACATAAACAAAATTGTACATTGTTGTGTAGAATCAGTGAATATATAGTGATAATCTTTAAACTGTAAAATATTGTTCATATGTGGTTTTGTTTCCAGTTTTCCTCTCATTTAAAACGGTTGTGTTCTCTTCTTGTTCTTCCATTTGTTTCCAGTTGTGCTAATTTATCCTTCCTCTTTTTGTGGTATGGGGGAGTAATAAATATGCTTGTTATTTGGGTAGGAAATCTAATCCTAATCATATCAATAATAAATAAAGTCGGTCTCGCAGCTAAGTCACGAGACATCGACACTTGACATTGCAGTTTTTCGCCAAGTGTCGAGCCACGTAGGTGAAAATTAGGTATTATTTTGACACATGATGCTAAGTAAGCGAATTTTGGATAGATTTTTTAAGATAAAATTGTTGTATAGTGTTTTATTGTCGATATACTTCTAATATTTCATATATACAAAATTAATCATAACTTTTAATAAAAATCTAATAACTCGGTTTATTTCCATCATAAAATTTATTTTAAAAAGTTCTTTAAAATAATATCCATTTATAATATATTTAAAATAATAGAGAATTAGTAAAAATAAGTTTAATTGGTAAAAATACTTTTAGTTTAATAAAAATAATTTAAGTATGATATGGCATGTCTAAATATCCTGGCATCGTTCGGGGCACAAAACTAGTTATATATATATAAGGGAGTTTTTTCCCAAGATTTTAGCACATAGGATTTTAATTTTTAAAAAATTCTTAGAGCGCCATGTAGGATTAGTGTTTATAGAGTGTTACGTATAAGATTATTACACGTAGGATTAGAATTAAAAGTTTACATTAATTATAAAAATAAAATATTATCATTTTATATTGGAAATTTTATCTAAATATGAGAAAGGAAACAATTTATTTTATTTAAAAGGAAATTCACGTTCAATTAATATCAAAAAAAATTGGATTATTGTTTTTTTTTAAAAAAAAAGGATTAGATAAAAAAATATTAATGAAATATGGGGAGTGATTATAATATAATATTTACAAAAAAAAAAAGTGTAATCATGTTTAATAAAAAAAAAAAATTTGTTGTTCAAAAACATATATCAGTTTTGGATTAGATACAAAAAAAATAAGAAAAAATCTTTGAAACTAAAAATATATCCTTTCTCTTTTTCCAGCCAACAAAAAAAAAAAAAAAAAGTTCATCATTTATCATTTATTCGGCTAAAAGATTAAGTACGTTAACAAAATTTATCATATCTAATAATAAAATCTATCACCACTTAAAATTAAATTCAGTATTTTTTTAAAATTTGGTATAAACTCATCTAATATCTAACACAAATAAACGTAAAACTTTTGCAGGCAAAGAAGCATATTTTAGAATTTGAACACCATGATTCTTGAATACGATGATCATAATAAAGAAGTCAATCATAAGTGTAATTTTACAAGGATGCTAATTTTGTAAGGGGGCAGATTTAATTATTATCAACTAGCACGGGATTGATTTACAAAGGGTGATGGAAGCCTAGAAGATCATATGTTTCACCGTGTACACAATTTGAAAAAAGCTGGTTAAACAAATACATATAGCTTTACATTTTATTTTCTTTCTATTTTTATTCAAGAATTGGTTTGTTTTGTTGTTTAAACAAAAAATTTACAAAAGATAATATGTTTATATATGTGTGAACCTTAATTGTATAAGATTGAAAAAAGAGTAATATTATGTATTAATATTTTTGTTATTACAATTGAATATTACATGTTAAATTTAATTAATAATAGAGACCCGTGCAGCGCACCAGCTAAAATCTAGTTTCTTTTACTCCGTAGTCCGTTTAATTCCTAAAATAATAATGCCTACTAGGCACATAGTCTTTGTCTTTTTTTTTTTTTGACAAAAGGTTCATATAACAAAAAAAAAAAAAAAAAAAAAAAAAAAAAAAAAAAAAAAAACCAACAAAACACTAAGTAATAGGAGAGCTACATAAACAGAACACTACATCAGAATATATCTTCTTTCGTAGGAGGTCGTAAGAGTCATCTGTTGCTTATGAAGCTCCCATGCGTTTGCAACCCACTTTAACCCTACAAAATAAGAAACGATTAGGAACATGCATTTTTCTCTCGATTTCTGAAAGCCTAAAGATGGACGACGACATAAAGTGACTGCTTGATTCATTGACAGGGACCGCGCTGAAAACCTAATGTCCCAAAAGGGATAAAAATCCACATGCAGCAAAAACAATTGGAGGTATTATTTAGGTCAACGGAGAGGAAAAACCAGAAGCCAAGGGTGTAACACTCTAGAAATCCCTTTCCTTTAAAATACCTGTTTTGCCCTTTTTAAAATACGAAATAGGAAAATCTTAGATATTACCACCACCGTGAAAACGGCTAAGGCAATTATCAAAGACACACAGCGGAAGACTATCTTTAAAACCATTCCTAACAAATCAACTTAAAAAAGTTAAACCAAAAGAAAGTAAAGTCAAACAAAGTCAACCTACAACTCGGAACCATTGTAGCCCTTAAAACCAAACAATACTGAAAACCTTTACGTCAGTCTCATGAGCATAACAAAATCAATAATATTCAAAGCGAATAAAACACATCATATTCCTATGGAAACTAAGCATGATTCGCTATTCACTCATGCCCATCATGAAAATGCCTCATTACCTGAAAAACTTCTCTCTACTTGTCCCTACTACTCGCCATTAGAAATGGGTAGTCGTGGGGCTAAGTAAAGACAAGGCCAAACAAACATACAATACACAATCAGCAATGCTGAGTAATAAGCGTAATAAAACACACTATCATGCTTTCATCCTATCATCACACAACTTATCTTGTTGCACCTGTGTACAAGCATACAACGTACAACACAACCACACAACAAATAACTAGTCTATTTATTTAGCTTGATTATGCATCGAACGGGTTTCCCCCTAACCTGCCCCAATAAAGGGGTACTAACACCGGAGCTAACCGTGCCAACATAAAATAACCACTCGTAAGTGGCGGAATTCCTGCGCATAATAAGAAGGAATATACAATGTCTTGTACTCCCAGTAGAAGTTATGGTCAAATATAAAGTCACATAACTCCTCCCATATGTTCATACTCAAGGTATATACGTTCCAAGAGTTTTGGTACGTAATCTCTTTCACTTTACGTCATTTACATATTTATTATACTTGGTGATGACTCTCAAACCATAACACAATCAAACATTATAATTTATTCAAGCAATCAAACAAACCAATTAAATTCTTGAATAATTAGAGACCACATAAATTTAATGTTGAATCCTTTTTAAACTACCTCGGTGTCAAAGACACCTTAAACGCATAATGCGCCACAAATTCTATCCCTCGATGTTAGAAACACCTTTAGTGCACCTAAGCACCAAAATATAATTTAATCCTCGTGTACAAAGACACTTAAATAGCTCTTTTCTCATGCTTATAGCATCAATAAAAATTATATGAACCATAATAAAACTTCCTTTTCATATTCCAAACCAAATTAAACATTTAGTTTAATTAAACATGCTCTCTATCATGCCAATAATAAAAGTGTGGTTCATAAACAACATGCCAACATAATTAATTCCAATCACCAATTCATCATAAATAATTCATACATCACATATCTTTTACCAACATCAATTCAATCAACAAATTCCAACCAACACCTATCATGATACTAATTGAAATTAATTAAACAAAGACTAACATGCTTCTACATATTCAAATAATTACCAAGTACGCGAACGTACCTTGAATATGATCTCAAAATCGCCACGGCTAAATAAAATCACTCACTTGGAAACCTCCTACAAACCAAAATTACAAAGAGGCATTAATACCTATTCCACACAAATTTCCAGCATTTTATACACTCCTTAAATCACTCATAAACCCTCTAAAACAAGTTAAAATTTAATTTAAAACCCTTACTTTTATTCCCAATTAATGGGTAAATAAAAATCCTTTCAAGAAACATAATTATAGTTTATATATAAAAATTCCAGCTTTATTAAATCATCTAAAATTGCTGTAATTGTGTTTTAAAACACTTATTTCAATAATTTATATCACCCATAAACAATTTCCATCAATATACATAAACTTAGCAACATAGGGTTTATAATTTGGGGCTTTTAATTCAAAACCAAATTTGAAAATTTATATACATCATACTTTAAATCAAACATCATAAAAATAATCACAAAACCCAAAAACAATAATTAGATCAAGGCTAGATTAGGATTAAAACCAAAAATAAATTTTTTTTTGAAGGGTGCGCACGACCACCAAGGTCGGGCAGCTGCCGCGCGCCTGCCTGGTGGCCGCCGCTGCCGGCGTGTGTTGGTGGTGTTGGCAGCCGGCCGGTGGGCGGCTGTGGTGGTGGCCAGCCATGGTGGTGTGTGTGGGTGGTGATGAAACAAAATAAAAAGAAAGAGGAAGGGGAAAAATTAAGAGAAAAATAGAGAAAATAAGAGGAGAGAGAAAGAGAGTTACCTTTGGGTATTCTCCACCTTGGGCAAAGTTTAATTTGCCCATGTGATGGGTATTTATACTCCCTTTCTAACACCCTCCTAGACTTAAATTCCTTTTTTACCCTTAATGATCCCTTTTCTATTCAAACTAGTATTTTGACTTTCTTTAAAAATTCATTGACTTTAAAATTTCCTTTTATAAAATAATATTCCCCAAAGTTTCCAAATCATGAAATAAAATATTTTCAGGATTGTTAAATAATTAAAAATAAACTTTTAATTAAAATAATTCTTTTTAAATTAATGAAACACCATAAATAATTCATTTCGAATTATTTAAATACTTTAAGAAATACTTATTTAAGTTAAAATACGTATTAAAATATGGGGTATTACAGTCTACCCCCCTTAAAAGAAGTTTCGACCCAAAACTTGGGTAACAAAATTCAAAAAAATTTTCCTCACTTTGTATAATATTGTTGTACTCTTTTGTCATACTTTTGCCTTTAATGTCTCTTGAAATCAAAATTACTCGAAATAACCGCCAAGAATGTGCAAAAAGCACAAAAATATATTAAAATATAGGAAAAAGCGCGAAATTCT